AATTATGATACGCAGGAAGCACAGCGGGGTGCCGTCCAAGCCGTTTTCACCTGGCCGAAAGAGAAGGGGGGAAATTCAACAGTTGTTGTGGCGGCAGCCAGGGGCGTGACAGGGCGCATCGGTGGGTGATGGCAGGTGGTGTGGGCCTAGCAGGCACGAGCAGTGTAGGGGCAGACGCCTGCGGGGCCTAGATGAACCGCAATGCACAGAGGTGATAAGGGAAGGCGTAGGCGTCTAAATGGGGTGGGGGGAGAGGGAGATAGTAGAGCATGTCCGTCTGCGGCTACTCGACTGGTCCACACGACCACAAAGAGAAGGCGAGAGGACGGAATTCAGTCCATTAAAGTGATACTTCGAGCGCAACTTTTTACGCCAAAGCATGGATGTATCGCGTGTTGCCAATCGGACTGAAGAGATACGAAGCTAAGTCCTCAGCTGACCACCAGGCGTCGTGTTGGCGATATTGCTCAGACTACGTGTTCTCTAAAGTTGGGTCACTGACCTCGTCAATAAAAATGTCATATAACAACTACAATTGACCCTCGTCCATTCGCGGATTTTTATTCGTACAGCATGTCTAAATTGTTCGCTAATTGTTTTCATTTATTCTCGTGACTAATTACACTGTTTATACAAAAAAAAGTTTTTGAATACCTTTTAAATATCAATATCTGCGCGCCTGAATATAGGAATAGATTGATTAGTTTTCGTCTTGATAAGAGTAGCAGTTTTATGCATTCACACGTAACTGTAGGCCATTTATTTTCAATGGTAATGTTGTAAGATGACTTTGAATGATAGAATGATATTTTAAGTTAAATAGACAGCTACAAATATATTCTTAAGGAGTCTCATGTATTCGCAGGTAGCTGTGATCCCTAACCCTTGCGCATACTGGGGGTCGACCGTCCCGGTGAACGCCTCTTGTGACACCTTAACTGGGAATGCATTCTTCATGAACTCCATACCAGCAGAAGTAAGACGACATTCTCTCTGCGTAAGAATGGGGGACGTCGATATTAAAAAAGTCGAAAAAGTACCTCCAAGCTCAAAAAAAGAAATTCAGCACCGAAAAAGGTGTAGACGACACGTAGATGCACATTTGACGGCTTTAATTCGGAATAAGTGCTTTGGTACGATCGTGAGCCGTTCCCAACGGGCCGCACGCAAATCGCTGTTTGCTTAACATTGTACAGTACTTTACGAGACATGCAGTGGGGTATGTAAATAAAAATGCGAAAAACTGTAGTTAGTGCCTTTTAACAATACCCATGAAAAACTGGAGAGATCATGCTGAGTTATAGGAGTTCATTAGCTTTCCAATGCACAAA